TTAAGCTGTAGGGCGCCTGGGATTTTTGAAGTTTGGAGCCTTCAAGGGCTCTAGGGGTACCTGTTGCGTCCTTTTTAAGGGCCTACGGGTGCATACATATACAAGAAAATGTTTCTCTGGTTTAAGGTTCAGGGCTTCTCAGATAGGAGCACCCTGGGACCTGAGCTGTTACACACAGGGGTCTCCGCTTACTTCAAGCCTGCATGGAAACCAGCGCGGGAACCAACACGACTTTGGAGAATATCTCCTAGATGTCCTACGAGGGGCTTACTTTGAAACCAATAAACACACCAATGCTGAAATGAAAAGAATGTGCGGAACTGCTGCAAAAACAGCAGTCGCAGAAGACGATAGCATTTTTATACGACTAAACCCTGTGCCCGGAACCCTGAGTTTTAGCCATAGCTATCCTGTCGGCCGTAGTCTTTTGGTTTGTTTTGAAGATCGGCTGCTCCTGCATCCCACGATTTTTTCTGTGGGCTTTCCAGTAGGGGCTCTAAATTTGGGAGCGCCCCATCTGCCCTCCTCAAACACCAGTGAATCTGCCGACACCATGCTTGTTGCGAACCAGGCGTCGGTTCGACGCAGCGGGCATGCATCTTGCATGGCACCTAACTAGCCTGATCGGTGCTCAAGGGCCAGTGTAGGCTTGAATGCAAGTTTTACAATGGAGGATATATGTTAGGAGGACCCCCCACCCTGTAATAGTGGTATAAGAGGTCAGGTATATAAGAGGACCCTAGTATAATCTCATTATCCATTATAGTCACTATTACTGGGTGGGGGGCCCACCTAAGGTATATGTTGCGAATGTACAGGGTTTATTGTAGGCATCCGTCTGCTATTTCCCTCTTAGCACCCAACACGGTCTTGCCTATTGGACCCAATTTACACCTAAGAGGGGTGGGTTTCAAAATATGGGCTATACTCTTTTGTGCTGGAGTCCCTGCATACCCCCTGAGTGAAGATAAGACATGAAGTTCCTCAATAGTAACGCCCAGAATTTCCGTACAGCGTGCTCTGTTAGCTAGGCCTTCATACCACCACCTAACCAACATTTTCCCACAAAGACCTCCGTCAGTTCAGAAACTGACGGTTGCAGGGTTCCCTGTTTGTGTGCTGAGGGTAAATTTGGTGAGAAGCCTAACCAATTAGAATCTGGAGGTCGGGGTCGTTCTACTAGTTACACCGCACTGATGAGGGGATGGGCTGTTTGATTAGTCAGGCGCTACATTTTTTTTACAGGTTACAGTGCTAGCACCCACGTAGTACTTTCCTTAAGTCAGATTGTTTAGGCTTGGGCGTGGTCATTGGATATGGAGCGGGTATATCCAGGCATCCTGTTGTATGCACAGCCCTTTCATTAGCGCCATGGGCCACTGGAAACCTGTGGTTTGTGGAGCTTGCGTAATTCTGGAAGCATTGGCAACAATACCTTTTGAAATCGGTAAATACATGGATGGCGAGTCCCTGGCAGGCAGGCCTCCGGGACATAAATGGTTAAGGGTATGGGGCTTCCCAGTTCCCCAAACCTACCCAAATTGAATGCACACGGCTTCGTGCATCATGGTTTTTTTCATACCGCAAGAGCGCTCCTCGGTGAGGACGCAGTGCATGGAGCCTTTCCAAAAAGCAGACATGCCATAAGCTTCAAGCCCTCCGCTAGGCACTGGTCCCTAGACCTGAAAAATAAAAGGTAAGAATGGGCCTCTACTATGGGCCCTTAGGCCTTTTAAGGCGGATTCTAGGGCCCTTTAAGGGTACGCCGTATAGGGATATGAAGAGTATATAGGATCCCAGCCCTAAGGGCCCATGCTTGGGCCACATGTTTTGGGGGTAAGATAAAACAACCTAAGCTCAGAAGCCTAAAACCCTAAAGCCACGAACCCTAAAACGCTAAACCCAGAACCCTCTCAACCCCTTGGGTCTAAACCCCGAACCTGAAAGGCCTAGAGCCCAGTCTGAAAACCCTTAAGTCCTAAAACCCTACTGGTTCTTAGTAGGGAATGTGGCAACTTCATTATAGAGAGATCAAAAAGGGATTGCTTCCTCTTATTCCCTAAGAAGGACCAGCAAGAAAACCAGAACTTTTTCATGTTCAGGTGATCTTGGGCTCTGGCTTCACCCTGTGCTACTGCTCTCTGGCCGTCCAGCAGCTGCCATTGCTGGAATCCCACAGTCTCAGCATAGGCCGGCGCGTCCAGAACTTGTAAGGTTTAGGGTGTAGGGTATAGGGTTGAGGGTGTAGGGCTTTGGTTTTAGGGTTTAAGGCATGGGGTTCAGGCGGTACCTAGAGCGCCCAAAACCCCTGAATTGGGAAGTCATATTCTTTGATTAAAGGGTGTTGGGCTCCCTGGGTAGTAGCCTGAGATCCTACAATTGCAATGCGCTGTTCAGGAGCGTTGCTGACAAGACATGTTTTTTGAAAGCTTCTGAGTGCGTTGCAAGTTTCTAGGTTTTGGGTGTGATCTGAAAGACGTAGAGATAATATGGGGTATATGGGGATCCTACTAAAATATACCCAAAACCATATTCTATCTACTTTAGGGAGACGATACACTGATAAGGCCTTCCGGTTTTCAATCGACTTTGCATTCCGTGGTATGGAGACCACGTCGGATTCCTATGACACTCCCTGCATGCAGCCAACATGTGCCATTACCCAAAACTTACTGGTTCTTCCCTCCAGCCTGGTGTAACCGCGCGGTTTTGAGGGGGTTGTAGGAGCTCAATTTTGCTGACAGGCGTGGGGTGTCGTGCACTTGCCAGGCTGCCAGAGACCATTTTATGCCCATATTCGCAGTGTTTTGTGGCCGGGCAGCATAGCGCCGTGCGTGACCTTTCTGGCATCCATGC